AACTGCTTTTCGTTACTTTGAGTGCTGCCTTTAACAAGGATTCAAAGCGCACAGCTCTGTAGCAGCGTGTTTTACAACAAAGGGTGCTGTTTATTCTTTTCCAGCTTCTGGAGAGGAACCCAAATCACAGCTTTGGCAAGAGATTTCCCCAGACATACTGGCCTGGCAGCAACATCTACACCAGCGCTGGACTGATACCAGCCTACGCAGGCTTTGTCCCACGTAAGTTCATCAGCTGAGCAAAAATGAAAGTCACCAACGCTGATTAATGACCATCGCTACGTAGTGCTGCATTACGTAGTGCTGCTGGTAGCTGCAGTGTCAGAGCAGAGGCAGTTCCTGAAGTGGTGGGGGGGAAGGCAATGCATTCCAATGTGCTCAGTGCAGGGGGGGCTGGGCTCGATGACCTTTAAAGGTCCATTCCAACTCTATGGGTTCTATGGTTCTGCTCACCTGTGTGCTTCACCCTCTGCCAAAAGCCCCCAGCACTCAGCACAGCTCCCTGGGAGAATGGTGACCAAACTAACAGCCACGAGGTCTGGCTGGGGATGCATATGAGCTCCAGCATAATGAAGAGGAGAAAGAACAGAACCCTGCACCCTAAAAACAGGGACAAAAATCAACTGCTCGAAGCGTTACCTCACGCTTTAATAATCTTCTCACTCTTTAAAAATCTTCTCACTCTTTAAAAATCTTCTCACTCTTTTCACCTACAGAATTGGGCTTCTGGGTAGGTTTGAAATTGGCCACCTGCTTCTTCTCTGCACAGACGCATTTCACTGCTCAGGGCAATTTCAGCTCTTATTTTCACTCTGGAAGGAGAAACCTTAAGACAGAAAACCCCCAGACCAGTTACAACCATTTCTTTTCTCAGGCAACTGAGAGAGCAGCCTATCTATTTTCTGTCCAGCTATCCTGCGACAGAATAAAACAAATCCACAACGCTCTTCGGCTGCATTGCTGGAGCTCTTTGGTGCAATTCCCCTGCAGCACAGCTGCCACGAGCTGTAATGCCCCAGCTCTGCACTGCTGCACGGCTGCAGCCTGGGCGAGGGCAGCGTTCCTCCCTCCAGAACCACCCACCTGCATCTGAAAGGCAAATTGCTGGCACCATCCCACTGCCCTGGCAGACACTGAGCTGCAGCTTACAGCAGCCCGCGTTTCTATTCTTTTCTGAGCTGCTCAGCTCTCCGAAGCTGAAGCCTGACCCAGCACCTGTAATAGGAGTCCATGAGCAGGTACCTAAATTTAGATGCGGCTTAGAGCTGAATTTCATCCTGCACGTTAAGGGTTTTCCCCTCCATTGCTGTATCCCACATGAACAACTGGTGCCCACCACCACACAGGGAGGGGAAGCGTGGCCGCCATGCTGAGCGCTGCTGCTCAGGCCGTGTCTTGGGCTTCTCTTTTCCAGACCTCCGCCAAACCTACGCTCTTACTTTTACAAACAGCACCCGCAAGGCTTACGAGATGGAACAAAGGAGACGAGCCTGTGCACTGTGAAAAATGCTTTAATGGTGCCTGTACAGCATTGGAAGTGACTTGAAGACGAGAGAGGGAACACAACACAGAGAGAAGTTCTGAATGACAGTTCATACAGCTTTAAACAAAATTTACAGGTGGCATCAGCATAGCTCTTACTCTGCCTCCTCCTCAGCCTCCTCCTCAAACTCCCCCTCCTCCTCAGCAGTAGCGTCCTGGTACTGCTGATACTCAGACACCAGGTCGTTCATGTTGCTCTCAGCCTCTGTGAATTCCATCTCGTCCATGCCCTCCCCTGTGTACCAGTGCAGGAAAGCCTTTCGGCGGAACATGGCCGTGAACTGCTCTGAAATGCGTTTGAACAGCTCCTGGATGGCTGTGCTGTTACCAATGAACGTGGCAGACATTTTCAGGCCACGAGGTGGAATGTCACAGACCGCTGTTTTAACGTTATTAGGAATCCATTCAACAAAGTAACTGCTATTTTTGTTCTGGACGTTCAGCATTTGCTCATCTACCTCTTTCATGGACATACGGCCCCTGAAAACAGCAGCTACGGTCAGGTAGCGGCCGTGCCGTGGGTCACACGCAGCCATCATGTTTTTGGCATCAAACATCTGCTGCGTGAGCTCTGGGACGGTCAGAGCACGGTACTGCTGGCTGCCACGGCTTGTGAGGGGGGCAAAGCCAGGCATGAAAAAGTGCAGGCGGGGGAAGGGAACCATATTCACCGCCAGCTTCCGCAGGTCGGCATTAAGCTGGCCCGGGAAACGCAGGCAGGTGGTGACACCGCTCATGGTGGCTGACACTAAATGGTTCAGATCACCGTATGTTGGCGTAGTTAACTTCAGTGTTCTGAAGCATATGTCATAGAGAGCTTCGTTATCAATGCAGTAGGTTTCATCTGTGTTCTCCACGAGCTGGTGCACCGACAGCGTGGCGTTGTAGGGCTCTACTACAGTGTCTGATACTTTGGGGGAGGGCACGACGCTGAACGTGTTCATAATTCGGTCTGGGTACTCTTCACGAATTTTGCTGATGAGGAGAGTGCCCATGCCAGAGCCAGTGCCACCCCCCAGAGAGTGAGTGAGCTGAAAGCCCTGCAGGCAATCACAGCTTTCTGCCTCCTTTCTTACAACATCTAATACGGAATCAACTAATTCAGCACCTTCAGTATAGTGGCCCTTTGCCCAGTTGTTTCCTGCTCCGCTCTGACCTGGAAGAGAGCCATTTTCGTATTACGTTACGGTCACTGCTTCCTGCTCGCAAGCAAAGCTAAAGAGCATCAAGGCTCTGCAGAACCCCCACAAAAGCTTCCATCTCACCAAGCTGCGGTGGCACAGCAGCACCTCCCGCAATGACTCGGCACAAATCTCTCTCACCCGGCCACACTCCGACCCTTTTTCCTCCTCCCGCCGTCGGTACCGGCAGCCGCACGGCCGGTTTCTCTGCCGTTCGGCCCCACACCAGGATTAACCCCTCCCGGGGCGGAGAAGCCCGCAGTGCGGCCCGGCCCTGCCCACCCCGCTCACGGCTCGGCTCCCTCCCCCGCTCACTCACCGAACACGAAGTTATCCGGCCTGAATATTTGACCGAAGGGCCCCGAACGCACCGAGTCCATGGTGCCGGGCTCCAGGTCCACCAGCACGGCGCGGGGCACGTATTTACCGCCTGCAAAGACAGGGAGAGGCGGTGAGCGCGGGGCGGGGCGGCGGCCGGCCGGGGGCCGCGGGGGCCGTACCTGTGGCCTCATTGTAATACACGTTGATGCGCTCCAGCTGCAGGTCGCTGTCTCCGTGGTACGTGCCCGTCGGGTCGATGCCATGTTCGTCGCTGATCACCTCCCAAAACTGCCGGAGAAAAACCCGTCAGCGCCGGCGTGCTCGGACCCCCGCCGGCCGGCCGGCCGGCCGCGCCCCAGCCCCCCCCCCGCCCCCCGCCCCCCCCCCCCGCCCGCCCCCCGGGCCCGATCTGGTTGCCGCACTGCCCGGCCTGCAGGTGCACGATCTCTCTCATGATGGCTTCAATGCAGCGACTGCCCAGCCAATGCCGCTCTTCCCCCCAACTGACGGCGTCTGGGGGCCGCCAGACCTTATATAGCAGCGGAATGCGCGCGCAGCCTCTTCTCCCCGCCCAGACGGCCATCCGCGGCAGCGCATTGGGTACTCATAACGAGGCTCTAAAAATATGGAGTTCTGATTGGTCCAGGGACTGCCATTCAAATATGGGTTTCTGTTGGCTCCGCCTGTTTGTCTGTTGATTTTACTGTCAGGCAACCCTGACTCACACGCGCCCGCCCTACTTGCTCAGAGCGTTCCTCATTGGCTGAATTGAATGATTGATGTCGGCCGTGATTGGCTGCGGGCCTCAGGGATGAGCTAACGTCCTTTGATTGGACGAAAACGAAGTGTCCTAGTAACCGTCGCAATGACTCCGCAGCACGCTCGGGGCGGTGGCCGGTGCGGCCGCGTATTCCCGAAGCCGTGTGCGCACTTTGCGCAGTGTGGGAGGCAGCTCCGCCTCGCAGACGGGTGGGGAGAGGTACTGTGGAAACTTCGCTGGGCCGCTCCCTGCGGTGTCCTGAGCAACCCGTACCTCTCCTCCCGCCACATATAAAGGGGCGCCTCCACATAAACCTGCCGCCTCCTCCGGCCCCGGGCTGTCGCAGCAGCGCTGTGGGGGCAGGGAGCCGCTCTGCGCATGCGCGGACCGCAGCGCCTTTCTAGCACTTTCTGGCGCGCAGCCGCCTGAGGCGGCGGGGCCGCGCGGCCGTTATCATGGCAACGGCGCCTCACGCCGGGCGTCGGTTGGGGCGCGGGCGCAGCGCTGAGCGCGTTTGTTGCTGCCTGCCTCACCGCCCTGCCCGCGGTGGCCGTTGCCTTGAGGTGTGTGCTGGCTGCGGCATGCAGGCCCGGGTCGGTGCCAAGGCGGGGTCAGTAGGCAGTGGTGCCCTGTTAGGTTCTTTATCCAGCGTTACAACGTTAAAATGGATGCAGGGAGCAGATCTGTGGCTTTCCCTGGGTTGGAGCTGGAATGGCGGCTGGGGCAGAGTTGTGCAGGGCAAGCCTTCATCCTGAGCTCCTGCTGCTCCAGCCCTGTCATTAGGCAGCCTGGCGTCCCCAGCTGCATCAGTTCTTCCTAGCTTACCTTTGCCCTGTCCCATCCTGCAGCACTGTCCTTATTACCTGGCTTCATTTGCACGTTCTCGCACAGACTGCTCATCTGTTGGTCGTGGCTTCCACAGGGCCTGCTGTGGCTGCTGTTTTAAGCAGGGCCTTCTTATGATTACACACCTTCATTAGGATGCCAGTGAGGTCCGTAGGTCCTAGCGCTTCTTGTTCCATAATGGAGCTAGAACTTGAAAGCAGCTCCTAATTGTGCTCCCCAAGCCCTGCCAGTCGCAAAGTGTTGCCTTGATGTGGGGGTGGACTGAGGCGAAAGCAGCAGATGACCTCAATTCTCTGTACACAAACAGAACACGCCGGGCTGGCACTCTGTGTGCCGTTTGGGAACTCATGTAACGCACAGCCACAGTATGATGACTTGTATCTGTATCAGGATCTATGTTCAGATAACAATAACCCAACTGTTTCTGAGATGGGCTCAGGTGAGGAGGTAAGCAGGAGACAAAGAATATCATGAAGGCTTTTGCAGGAGATAAAATAGCCTCTGGTTGTTGGCTTAATACAAGGGTGTGTGTGAATGACATTTTTGGCATGTAAACAACACGTCCTCGCAGAAATGCTGGAAAGAGCCCAGGAGCATTGGAGCAGCCCCACAGGCACCTGGACAACCCTGGAGAGCCTGGGAAGAGCGTCAGAGCACCTGGAGGAACCTGAGAGCTGCCCTGGCAGCCCCCAGAGGCCCTGGGAGAGCCCTGTTCAGAGCACAGAGCTGCCCAGACAGGACTAGGAAGATGCACATCCTGCTCGTCCTCCACATTCTGAGCCTGAAGGTAGGAGGCTTATGCAGTTCACTGCAAGATAGCTGAGTAATGCAAAGGCATTAGGGTCCAGATTTATCCCACATGATTATAGGCATGACATTGAATTAAATTGCTAACTCTGGGCTGCATTCATGCCAGAGTCGGTGCAAGGGGTTGGCTCAGCTCACTCCAGCTCTGAGGAGCACTCTGACTGCACCTTTCTCTTGCACATAAAGGTATATGAGGTAACGAAATCCAAAATATCTCTATCTTATACGAGTATCAAAGGCAGCTGGAATCAATCTGGACCAGACTTGCTCAAGATTTCATGCAGCTATGCAATAATCAGTAAAGACAGCTTTTCCTCCAGGATGTCATGTCATATCTTCAGAGTAAGATAAAAAATGAATACTGCCTTCTTTCTGATCAGAAAGATAGAAGGGAGTTTAGTCTTGTCTGTGTTTTGCTGCTTGCGGTGTTCTGTCTAGGAAAGTATATTCAGCACAAATTAAATTATCATCAAGGCCTGCTCAGAACAGCATTAGCAAGCTTCTGTGCTCATGAAGCACAGAAAACTCTACGTAAAAGCAGGCTGGGGGGAGCCACTGCAGGAGGGGGTTTGCTGGTACATATGCTGCTGCATTTCCTGCAGATAGAGGGCTTGTTTTTTTCAGTCAGAAGGCAGAGGGCTGTGCATTAGTGGCAAAGGTCTGTTTCCTTCCTTCATTAGAAATTATGAGCCTCTGTAGCCTATGCTTGTGCCAGCTTACGCTTGTGGTTCAGCCCTCTCTGCCTTCAGTGTTTGGGAAGCTGCTCAGCAATGTGTAGAGTGAGAAATGGTGGCCGCCCCCAGCATTCACAATGGCAGCTAGGATGTGGAATCTGCACAGACTTTGGATACCCATCCCTAACGTGCAAGCAGGATCACACCCAGTAGAGCAGGTGATAACTGGGTAGCCCCATGGGGTAGCTACAGTTTTGCTCCTGTGATGAAGTCTGTGGAGGTTTCCCTGGGAGATTCAGCCACCTGAAGATCCATGGATTAGGAGGCCTTTCACATTGTTCAGGCAACATTTATTTTTGCTATTTCTATTCTCCTGTACCTGGCTACATGCAGATCCACAGGAAATGACAATTCTATTTTAAATACTTTTCGCATTTTTTAACTTCAGTAAAATGGCATTTTTGTAAGCTGTCTCTGAGAAGGAACACAGCCAAACTGCCAGGAATCTCTATGGAGCGCTGCTGGAGCTGCAGACCATTTTAGCCCTGTGACTTCTAATGCTCTGGCAGCCCAGCAATTATTGCTACCAGAAGGTGAGCTGGCAAGTAGCGAGGCTGCTTCCTGCCAGAACCTTGTCTCACATGAAGCATGCCTTCAAAGGCAAACCATCTGTACTGAGCTGACAATTCTGCAAGTCCTGGGAGAAAGAAAATGCAAATTCTATGGCCTTGCATGAGCAAAATGATAAAGTGCATTCCTGAACGTTCCTGGTTTAGTGGACACTCTGCACAGAGGAGCTGCTGCAGATTCCCAAGGCAGGGAAGTAGGAACGTTGGAAAGTAATAGGAATAGCATGGAAAGGAACAGTTTGACCAATCGGGGAAGAAATGTGTCTTCCACATTGTGTCTTTTATTGAAGACATCTGGTGTAACTGGGATTTGATTTCTTTGGAAGCTCTCATCAAAACTTGCTGCAAGTGACAAGTAAGGAGACTTCACCTCATTTAGATGCTTCCAAATTTCCCATCAGTGGAGATTGCTGTGTGAATTAATGACTAAAACAGGGATGCTAACAAACATTAGAGGCCACTATTGCCAAGCCAAAGTCCTGGGTTTAATCCAGAAGAAGACATAGCAGTGAAGTTAAAACTAAGCTGAAAGCTGCATTTCTATTTCTTTAACTCTATTTTAGGTGGGTTTTTTTCTTTAACTTTTTATGGTAAATGTTTTTATGAACTGTCTTTACTGCTTTCAGTATGGAAGCAAATTTTACTGTGAATACATTTGGTTTGAGAGAGGTACCTCCAAAAAAAGTAATTGTTGAGTGCTGCCTTCCCCTTTTACAGAACCACTGTTGTTGGTGTGCTACAGGGGCCGTAATTCTTGATTCTTTACCAGCAAGGCAGCAGTTTGTCTCTCTGAAATAATGTCCTTGTGTGAACTGAGCCTTGGCTCTGGGGTGGGGCTGGTGGGAACACAAACAAATTGTAGAACTAATTCTGCTTAAGTAGGTACAAATGTGAAGCTCTGAGTTCCAGAGAGGGACGCTGCAGAATGAATGTGGGTGAGAGCCTGCTTCTCAAATTGCAGAGCTGTCAGTGGCGCCATTCCAGGTTTATGGTATAACCCAAGTATGGCTGTGAGCACACCTGGTCATTCCAGTCGTTCTGATTTTTCATTTCTAAGGATGGACAGTACTTTATTTCCAATGAATTACTGTTCCTGAGGGATTCTGCCTCGCGCAGATGTTCAAATGAAGCAGGTATTGCAGGTGGGAGCTACATCCAGGGGCTGCTGAGTGAGAGGTGCAGCTGCAGGATTCCTGGTTGAGAGGCTGTTGTGGTTTAACCCCACCAGCAGCTGAACGCCATGCAGCCTTCTGCTCACCGGTGGGACGGGGGAGAGAATCAGAAGAGAAAAGGTCTTGTAGGTTGAGGTAAAACTATTTACTGGGACAGAAAAGGAAGAGAGATACAACAGTAATGATAACAATGACATGATACATACAAAACAAGTGATGCACAACCAGCTGCCCACCACGTGCTGCAGCAGCCCCCCCGGCCGACTCCCCCCAACCTGAGTTTCCTCACGTGCTGTGCAATGCCCTCTTGGGCCACTTGAGCTCAGCTGTCCTGGTTCTGCCCCCTCCCAGTTCCTTGTGCCCCCCCCAGCCCTCTTGCTGGCAGGACAGTGTGAGAAGCTGAAAAACTGAAATGTCTTTGGCTCTGTACAGTGCTGCTCAGCAAGAACTAAAACGTCAGTCTGTTCTTAGCAACGTTTTTCTCCTTAGGCAAAAGCATCATACCAGGCACTATGAAGAAAATCATCTCTCTTTCAGCTGTAACCAGGAAAGAGGAACAGCTGGTTGGGATCAAGCAGCAAGTCCATCCAGGCCAGTATCTTGTCTCTAATGATCCGGCAGCCAGAGAGCAGCAGGGCAAACATATTTGGTTATGGGAGGTGGTTCTGGCAATTCTTTCAGCCATAAGCAAGCATCTTTTTGTTTAATAGCTTGGGTAGATTGTTTTCATATAAATTTGTCTAACGACTTTTTACAGCTATATAAACCTTTGACATAAACACATCTGTCACGTTGAGTCCCATGGTTTAACCACAAGCTCTGGAAGAGCTCCTTCCGTTTGCCTTCATGGTTTCTGCTGAGCTCCTCAGTTCAGAGGGGTGCTGTGGGCTTGTTACTTCTAGCTTGCACTCAAGAGTTTTTAAACACTGTCAGTGATTACCATGAAAATGAATGTAATGCTGAAGCAGCCTTTACTTGTCGTAAGGGTCGATATTAACTGGCTGTTTACATCTCCCTCATGCTTTAAGCGAGTGAACTTTGAACACTGCTCCCATGTTTTCCTCATTCAGTTCCACTGCAGTACAGTGCCCATAGATAAGCACTGTAAGGCTCACCGTTCACTCAGCAGAAATGCTCCTGTAGAGATTTTGCACTGAGCAGCAGTGACTAACTCAGTCATGAGGTGGGCATATGGTGACACCCCCTGCTGTGACCAAAAATAAATCTTCCTTCACACAAAAGTTGATGTGATCATTCCTCCGTCTCTCTCCCATCTCCTCTCCTCCATTCCCGGCTCAGTCCTCTTCCTATCAGGGATTATTCATTCTCTTATTGCCAAAGGACCCTTCATCATACACCACGCTATTGCCCCGTCTCTCTGCATGGAAATCTTTTCCCACTAATGCTGCTGTTTCTAACATCACTGAGTAGAGCTGCTTTTGCCTCCCACATGTAGAGAACTTCTACAGCGCAGCATGTCTTTTATCTCTATCCACATCAGGAGGCTGCTCATCAAGTTTCCCGACGAGCCTGCTTGCTAATGGGGCTGATCTGCTGTGGGAGCAGCTACCGGCGTTGGGGATCTGCTGAGCTTGAAGGCGCTGCGCCGCCAGCCTCCCTCTTGTGACTAATCCCCGTCACTGCAACTCGGGAGAACGAGAACTTGTGCTCACAGCGCTTATTTAAGAGCACCCCACTGCAAGGAGACTCTATATCTCACGGAGAGCATAGTGGAAAGCAGGTCAAAGACTTTTCATCTTCATGGACTCCACTGTGTACACGTGGGACTGACTAGATGTGCTGCTCTTGCAAAACCTCAGAATGCTTTAATTCAGGCATCTACTTCCCTGGATTTGATGGTGTCATAGAAAGACTTTTATTTTAAGATAGCTGTGGCAAAAATCTGTGTTTTGCTGATCCCAGTTTTCATTTGGACTTGTTCTACTAATAGCATTTCCATCTACTTCAGTTCTGAATTAGCTCTTGAAGTAGGAGTGTTAGTCCTACTAACATCATCATATGGCTTTCTACTTTGCTGGAAGATTAGCTGATATATGATCATAGGCATGGTATAAGAACAAAGTTTAAAATCACAGAATCACAGACTGGCCCGGGTTGGAAGGGACCATGAAATTCCAACCCCCTGCCACAGGCAGGGCTGCCAACCTCCACATTTCTTAGCAGCCCAGGCTGCCCAGGGCCCCATCCGACCTGAACACCTCCAGGGATGGACGGGGCATCACAGCCTCTTGGGCAGCTGTTCCAGCACCTCACAGTAAAGATGTCAGGGCTCACCTCATGTCCTTTTCCCACAGTTCCTGGGAGCCTGGCTGCCTCAGATCAGGAAGAATGGAGCTAGTCTGGTCCTGTTGTGCTGGACGTGGTACTGCAGGACTGCACTGCAGGCACTGAACCATTATTTGTCTCAGCTGCCGTGGCAGTTCATTGGTACAGTCTGGATGAGATGTATTGGCTGGGATTCCATGGTACTTTGGAAATACTATAAACTGGAAGAAAGACAAGGGACTAATATATTTCTGCAAACATGCTGACATGAAACTTAAGCTATTCTGTCAGCAGCAGGTCAGCTAACCTATTGTGTTTGTGGAGCTTTGGATTTCTTTTTATGGATACTTGCTGACAGCAGCATAACTGAACTGACATGTAGGAAGACATTACCTGCTAGAAGAGCTCTCCCATGGCTCAGCCCACAGTGAGAAGGGCTGGAGCTATGCATTAGGAATTTACACACAGATTAAAAACCCTCATTATTAATCATTTCCACAGTTAACCATTGCCCTGTAACCAAAGGCTGCAAGTATCTTTGTTTCAAAGTAAGTGAGGTAATCTAGAATCTCTTTTTAAGTAGATTTCTGCTGTCAAGGTAATCTGGGGATTAGTTCTGCACATTTACGAGGTGTTGAAATGCCAGAGCTGCTTCTGTAGGAAGTTGGTAGAGAGGAGCATGTTACCTTGATTGGTTTCCTTTCTTGTAAGTTCCCAATTTTGCATTTTTTAATTTTTATGGCTGAAAACACACTTCAGGGCTTTTAAAAGACCAATTTAGCTCAGTGTCTAATGAATACACCTGTAATTGTTTATTTCTGCTGCATAGCACTTATACTACTGCCCATTTGAAGCCTGGTTTGCCCTGGCTGCTGGAGCTGCCTGTTGGGATGGGCAGCACAATCCCTGTAGGAGAACAAATTTGTCTACTCTCATCTGGTACCACAACATACAAGCCATCAACCTCAGCTGAAGAGACAGCAGTGGCTGTATTTGGAGGAAGAGTGGTGCAAAGGAGAGACTAAAGCTACCACCGGTGTGTGGCAGCTGTTTTATGAGTGCATTCCCAGAAGCAGGAGGATTGAAGTCCTGAGGATTTCCCCTGTGCTGCTGACTCCCCGATAACCTCAGTTTTTCTTCTGCGCAGGCTTGTCTGAATCCCTCCTCTTCCTTCTTCAGATGGTCTGAGCAAAGAACACATCAAAGATGTTGACGTGTCTCTCATCAACTAAATACCAGCAGCCAACTTATCTAAAGTCATTTTCTGCCTCCCTGCCACTGGGAAGAAAGTGCCTTCAGGGGTTCTCATTGTGTACCCCAGAAGAACACAGCATAACAACTCCTGAGTAAACAGAGGCAAAGTCAGCATCCCCCATCCTCTCCTCTGAAACAGTTTGTATTCACAATAAAAGCCCTGCTTTGATCTCTTGCCAAGAATAACACAGACAGTCTATTCAAACATCTTTAATAACATGATATAATTAAAAATATCTAACCTGCAACTCAAAGAAATGAATATGAAGCTTGTTTCAGTCTGTTTCCACACCCCTCCAAACTTGACTGACAGGTTCCAGACCTTCATTAGTTGGCCTGAAAATTCATGAACACACCAGTATTAGTAGGTGGGGGTGGGAGGGGTGGGTTGTCCTATATGTGAATTAGGAACACAAGGGATTAATAACCAGGTTTGAAAGGATTTGAGTGCCATGGTAGCTTTAAATATCCTGCAAGGCAAATCATTGCATCTGTGAGCATTTAAATTTCTGTTTAAAGTGGTCTGCAGTGAGTTGAAGTCACTTGTGCCTTGGGCTTTAAACAGCTTGTGTGTTTAAGTCTCTGAAGCATTCTGAGAGGTGAACTCTAAGTGCTTTAGTCAAAGGTCAGCATTTGTCTGAATCCATCCATTTTCTTCACAATAACGTGGAGAATTGTACAGCAGCTCCTGTTAGAAGAACAGAGCGGACCAGAGCTGGAACGGCTGCCAGTCCCAGAGGAATCCTGAATGTTGGGCTGCAGAGTCGATTTGGTCACAGTCTAACATGAAAGTCGTGGGGCTGACAACTGGGAAAGCTGCTGTTACTCAGTCTGTTCTTGCCTGAAGGACAGTGTTAGATATCACATTCCAGGGGCAGGGAGACAAGCAGTTCAGTGCACATGAGTGAGCTGCCATCGTGCACCCAATTTTAAGTGTGAGATAAAGCATCTTAATATAAATCCTGGTTAAAGTGTTTGAATTGACAGTTTTAACCCTGAGTTACCGTGACTCAGCTGAGAGACAGGAACTCAGCTGTGTATCTGTGCCCTTGGTTTCTCCTTTGATGTTCTGTATGTTTTGTACAGAGCAAGACCAAAACCTGCTGCTTTTGAAGGATTCAGTTAGCAGGAGCGTTCACTGGGTGGGATACATGGATACTGCCACTGAGATGGAAGGACAGGTGAGTGGTGGCAGGGAGAAAATACAAGTCTTCTTCCTTGGAGAGTACATGCAAGTTGGCAGCTGTATTCTGATTGTATTTTAGAGCTTTTCCAGTCTCCATTAGTGGTATGTAGCAGGCATCTTCCCTCTTGTGGGCAAAGAAGAGGACAGAATGCCTTTTTAAATATAACTTTTCCTAATTAGACAGGATTATTCAATATTAACTTTATAATAGTGCTCCTGGCCCGCCTCCTCCTCAAGGGAATGTTTTCATTAGCTTGACACAAGTAATTGCAGTTGCAGCCCAAGCAAGATCTGTGCAAGCTGGTCTCATTTGGAGAACGTGTAGCTTGTCATCCACTGTGAACCTCAGGCTTCCTGCATGGAGAATCTGTTTTTTCAGTGTACAGTAGTGCAAATGGTTGCAAGCTGAAACAAGGTACTGAGACTCTCGAGTCCTGCAGGAAAACCACCTGTATCCTCCAGGGATTTTCAGCTGTGTGATTTCTGTGTACACTCTGTTGGCTGCCCTCTGGCACAAGAATCTAGTCCTGGAATAAGTCAGTTGTCATCAAAAACGCTGCTGTTCCTGTTACTGAAGCTGTTCTCCTTGACCATCACTCGGTATGAGATGCGCATGAACGAGCCAGTGAGCAGCACCACAAAGAGGATGAGCAGCAAAGACCAGACACCTGGGTCAATGCCCTTGAGGAAGCTTGGGCTGTCCTGGGGGATGCTGTTGGTCAGATTCAGCAGGTATCCGAGAGTCCAGACAGATGATGTGTCACCAGTCTGTTGACAGGGAAAGGAGAAGAGGTCAGAAGGAAAACTGGATAGAAGAGCTGTGCTTCTGTGAACAGGCCTAAAACCTTGCATGCTTTAATTGAGACTGACCCGTGGATTAGGCTTGAAATGAGCAGCTCTTCCTCTCTTAGGGCTCTGAGTGCACTGCTACGCCTTAATTGCCCTAAACAGCCTCACCTGAGATTTCCACTCACCCCCTCTGTTCGCTGCCCTTGGAGCTCCGTTGATGCTCTGCCCTGAGCAGCTCTTTCTTTTCTGAGCTGAGGTGTACCTGTGTGCTGTTTTTACTCCTGCTCTCTGCCTGATTTTCCCTGGTGGATCTCTGTTGTAAGTAGTTTTGCTTGTGGTCCTATTGCTGAATGAACCTCAGACTGATGTTGTAGGGCACTTGTTTCTGGCTTTTCAGTTTGCTGCATGGACCCGGAACCTAACCTTGCTTTTGGCTGGTGATTGCTATGTGGCTGACTGAACTGCTATTACTGATGCTGCCCCGCTCACATTTGAGGGGAGTCACACTTCTATTCGTGAGCTGAGAAATTTAAGAGCAAGCTTAATTTTTGTGAGTGTGAGGACCTGAATCAAATCCTGCTTTCCTAAGGAGCTCCAGATCCTGGAGCAGCTGCCTTCACCAGCTGTAAAGCATGACTGGTTTAAAGGTGAATCTTCTGGCTTAGGAAATATTATCCAACCTTTGTCTGTAGCCTTAAATGATGCCAAAACAATCTTCCTTCACTTGCTTCTTGGACATGGATTCTTAAAGATAATATTGCTTCAAATAAGGTTTTGACCCATCTGTTTTTCATGAGTGGAATCCCTAGTTCTCTGACCTTCTTTTTCTTACTTACAACAAATGTGAATTGATTTAGCAAAAATATCTTTTTGGAGAAACCTTGTTGATTAGGTCTTGTAACACTGGACACAATCTGACTTTATTGAAATCATCTCACCCTTGTAATTGGATGTACCACACATAGATAACTGACCTGGAATGCAGCCTCAACAGACTGATTGAAGTCAAAAACATATCCCTTTGTACTGAGATGAAAGATGAAGGCAGATACAATGCAGTAATCAGCAAGTGCATCCAGGCTTGTCTGGGTCTCCTTGACTAGCTGGTGTTGTTTCCAAAGGAAGAACGAAAGGAGGGGAAAAAAAGTAAATATTCAGTAGTTAAATTTCAGGCATGTCAAAAATGCTCCCTTTCTGTCTGGGACTGGCTGCAGGACTGGAGGAGGGCGTTTCAGTCCCTGTCCTGTCACTCTGGGCTGTGGTCTGGAAACCAGTGCCACCTCTCAGTGCCTTTTTCCCACTCTGTTTAAGGGACCTGGCAGTTTGAAGAGCTTCAGAACTAGCAGCCAGGTCTCGTACAGCTGCACTGCAGGTCAACTGCTTGATAGGACTTCCTGCTCTGTGCTTAGGCTGAGCTAATGCTGCAGCCTTTCTCTCAGCAGGATCACTAACAAGGCCTTTCCCTTCTGAACAGAAGAGAAAACTTTAGGGAACTACTGATGGGACTTTGCTACCCCATTAGCAAACCCTGTAAGAACTGGCTAGTTTAGGTGTTAGTAAGGAAAGGATGTCTGGTTGCTGTATGCTTCAAATGAAGGTGCCCTCATAAGACACCAGCTGAGGAAGAACTTCTGGAAACCCTGTGCTTGGTCTGTGTGAGCCCAGATGAAGTGGGATAGTCCCTGGAGTCTGAGCAGGTGTGTTCCTTATGCTGAAAGACCAGAGGATAACAGGAAGATCAAAGTGATGTGCAGGAGTGAGTAGACAGGCTTCCTGCTTACTCCTTTATGAGCAGTATAAGGTATTTGTGGCTTCTCAAGTGATTAAATGTAAGTATACCAAGGGTAGCAGCTGAGATTGGAGAGGAAGGAAAATAAGCCTGTGACTTATAACTCTGTTAGTTTTGACCCATGTGGGCTTTTCCAAAAGGTTCCTGGCTTCCCGCTATCCCTGTACAATAAATTATTCCATTTACCTCTTTGATAGACATCTCACAAAGCTTGCTGACTGCCTGACCCAAGTCAGGAGAGGATGTGGTTTTCCTCAGGAAGTCCATGGCCTCAGAAATCACCTACAATGGCAGCAAAAATAATTGTCACTTCCTCCCTCTGGATGCCTTCTCTGAGATGCGCTGTCCTCAGGATCTTGCACTGGTCCTGGCTTAACATTCTAGTGATAGATCCAAGGTTTCTGATACAAACATGTGGATGGTGGAGCATCCTGGATGTCTGCTCACAGTGGGAGTGGATCGTTTTGTTTCACCAAGAACTTGGTATAGGAGGTCCTGCTCAGCGTGGCTCCCACCTTGCCCTGTCCCTGCTGGATCATGTGAGCTCCTTTATGGCTCAGAGAAGCCCCAGAGTCTGACAAGCAGACATTGCTGGAACACGGAATGAAAAGGTTTTCTCACTGCTGTTGGTGGGAAGCCTGTGGTTCTTATTTGAACATGGGGAGAGGACAAGAGAGCTTGTGTGGCACTAAGCAGAGCACTGGCCCACTTGCCTAGTAGAGGAGGCTGTGACTGTTCCCTCTGTATTTATTAATGACTGAACTGGTCCCATTTCTTGTATTCCCAGTACTAATTGGCTACCCCAGAGTAAATGAGAACCCACCAGAAACCTGGTTTGGAGGGGCTTGGCAGCACTTTTGGGGAAATTATTGAGGAAGCTGCAGGAAGAGGAGGAGTTGAGCAGTCTTTGCACGAGTCTCATGCAGGCAGAGGGGTTGCTGGTGCCGGAGATGTTGAAAACCTGGTCAGAGTTGGGGATATCCAGTGTGTCATCACTGACAGTACAAGGCCCTGTGTGCACCGAGCTCCACTGCACTTCTTGGGAGTAGCTGAGGGGCCAGCAGGGGTTAGGCACAGTTGTAGCACTTCCTTGTTCCTACGGAGAGAATAAAACAAGGGCAGTGGTAGTGAGAAAGGAGGTTGGCATCCCAAGGCTTTATAGATAAAATGCACATGAGGAAGAGTTGTTTTTTCTAACACTGTGTTGAAATAACACCATGTTGTAGTTGAGTGGGCGTGCTGCAAAAGGTTTGTCAAACCTTATCTCAGCTATTGATCTGCAAGACCCAGACTGATGCAGCAGGATCCCAGCTCCTGCTGAGTTCAGAGCGAGCTGCAGCAGCTGGATGTCCTGTGGGAGGCTGAGGAGTCCTGGCTTGTGGGAATCGTGGCCCTACCTGCTCAATGAATTAAGGTACTTCTAGTGAAAGGCTGCTCTGGTCTCCTTTCTGAGTGGTTCCTGTTTTGCCCATGTTCACAAGTCTGATCACTGAAACGCAAGGTGATCCTGCTTGCATTAGGCAGCCAGCTAGGCATGGGAAATTCAGTGTTTTCTGATGCTTTAGCCCCCATGCTCTCCATTAGCCAGCGTGACCTGGGTGGCATGCAGGTGCCCAGCCCCCTCTCAGTTGGCTGCTTGCCCACTAAAGCTGTGTGGGGCTGAAGAAGCCCTTTGAGAATGAGTGTTCTTCATCTCTAGGAATTCCCCAGCATAACTGTGGGTAGCAGGTCTCTGCAGGATATCCAGGTCTCTACCTTGAGTGTGATTTTAGCACCTCAGGAGAGGGATTTTGTGCTCCACTGTATTAAGTAGCGAGCCAAAGATCCTGTCAGTAGGAAACCCAGGAACAGGTGCCTTTATCTCTGCTTGGAGAGCATTGATTCAGACATGGAGAACATGTCTGTCAAATGCCCTGGGCTTTTTTTTTTTTTAGGTACGTGAACACCCTCTGCTAAAGACACATAGTGATGTTTTGCCTATAAGCAGCTACACCTTATGCAACTGTCATTCAGTACCAAGGGCTGACCTAATATCTAAGAACTTCCAAGAGCCCTTTGGGCAGATACTCACTTGTATGAGCATGGAGAGCAGCCTGCTGCGGAGTTGGTCTGTGCCGTGGCAGGGACAGTGGTGGGTGTTCACTGTGTGTGTCTGCCCATACAGCTGCAGCCTCACTCCCTCCTGGTTCCCTTCTACCTTGAAAGTGAGCTGTGTTGAGGCTCCTCCTATGGACAGGACTCCTGTCATCCCATTTCCAGATGGGACCATTTGTCCTTGCCAGTCGTACTGACCCAAAAAGAAACAGAGAAGTAGTTCTTAAGGCTTTCTACATCTGGGTTTTAGTCAGATGCAAACATTAGTGCACAGAGAAAACAACTTTTGGTGCAGTACAGCCCACTTGTTTCTTTCCCCCCACAGGACGCAGGGATGCTAAACTGCTGGCTTTGGAGGGAACAGTGGCTGTGCAATAGCTGCCATCTGCACAGAGCTCCCCAGAGTGAGCAAACAAGGCTCACCACCTGGGACAGCTGATCTCAGCAATGGTGTGAGCAGGGGAGAAGATGGTGGTAGAGAGTGAGAGGGAGGTTCCCAGGTGGGCAGATGTGGGCTTCGAGTGCTGCCTCAATGCTGAAGCACTCTCCCATCAGAAGAACCCTATGGTTTCATCTTCCCCAGAACTCATTTTGCCAGTGCTGAAGTTACTAATATGGACAGGAAAGCTTACACTGACTGCAGACATGAGCACTGTGTCGCTGGCTTGGGGAGTCTGCCTTGCTGCCAGCAGGATTAGCAATTCCATAGCTGGTGCATGGTTGCTGCAATTTATCAGCAGCAAGCTGATAATATATCTTTATATCTTTATATAGCTTTATATTATGGTGCATTGCTGCTGCCTTTCACTTCCCTGCTGTGCGGTAACTCAGTTGCTGCTATGTAGCCTGCTTTTCTTTTGCACTTTGAATCCTTCCTGAGGTGCAGCAGATTGAGAATGTATGGAGTCAGCAAGGAAAATTAAATATACTTTCGTTGTTGTTCAGTTGGTACCTTCTGAATACAGGACAGGGCTCCAGCATGGGACACCCAGCTATACTCTTGCTAGCATCAAAATGAGAGGAACACCTATGGGCTTTTTGCTTGCTCTGCTGCTTACAGGTTGTTGCCTGTAGACAACTGGACTGCAATGACAATTGCAGAACACCCTGCAGGCAGCAGCAATGCATTTGGAAGTAGAACTGTAGGGACCTGATCAGGGGAGTGAGGACCAGGCTGTTTAAAGTTATGGATGCAAGCGTCCTTGATGTGTTGTCCAGAAAATTAGGGCAGCTACACGAGCATGTGTAGGCAATGTTATATTTGATCCTTCAAACCATTTTTAACCACGTCACATCACGTTCCCTAGCCAGCTGGTGTTGGATATAACATGCCTCTAAAAATTCTGTACCTTGAAGAAGTTCTCCAGAATGTAGTTAACAGCAACCCAGTTGAATGCTTCCTCATCTGGGCTGGACAAGATTTGTACCCTCTGAAAGTCAAAGGGGGATGACTTCAGGGCCACAGTCAGGGCTGCAAGGAGATCGTCAGAGAGGGTGGGATGGCTGAGGCTAGACAGAAAAGAAAAAGAGGGCATGTTTATTGTGCTTTGCCAGGAGCAGTCCACGGTGGGCACAGCTGCAGAACGTGTGCTCTTCTCCCCATTTTGGGTAGCAGCATGGTGAGACACATAATAATCCTGCTGCTGCTTCCCTCTCTCCTTCCACAGCACTGGTGGCAAGAACAGCCTGCACAATACAGATGGAGATATGATTTGATCAGCTGTGCCACCGTTCAAGAGTTTGGGAGTTTAGTACCCCCTGCTACTGAGGGATGCTGTGGCCTTACCCCATGGACTTTCTCCCTCTAGACCTTACTCTCACCCAGTGTCTGAAAGGAGATAGTTCCCAGTAATGAGGTGACTGAAAGCAGTTTCCACAAAAGTATGTATCATAAAGTGGATCTTCCCACCACTGCTCCCAACCTGCTGACAAGAAACACCTCTGCAGCCTCATGTTGCTTGTCATGTAAAGCGAAAACAGCTTCCAGACTGACAGATTTTTCCCTGGCCCTCATTGCCAAAGTGACCAGTAGCAAGACTCATCTTCATAGCTGCCTTGGGGGATGTGGTGTGGTCACAGCCATGCTGTACTCCCCTTGAGTGCATGGGGAGCTGAAGAAGGTTTACCTGACCAGCAGATTAGGGGTGAAACATGGTAGAGCAAATAGGTGAGATTTGTTTACAGAATAATCCACATGATGTGTGCTGGTCTCTGGGTGTGGGTTTGCAACATGCACTCACTTCAGCTGCCTTATGCTGGTGGTTGCTCCCAGGTACAGGGGAGTCTGGCTGTGCTGCTCTGCCGGGATCTTGCTCTGGGCCCAGTTCAAACATGTATCCAAGCTCTTTCCTACTTTCTGAGGAGAATCTGAGTAGTTCGGGATTTCTGGACCTGAGGATCAGGGGAAAGAATGGAATTTTCTATGGGAATATGTGGGAGAAGTGAGAGCTGTTATTAGAGAGCCTCCAGGACATGCATAAAGACAGGACACTTCACAGGTGGAACAAAGGAGTTCTTCCTGTTCTTCCATCTTGCTCTTCTGGGAGCAAAATGGTAAATGTGTGAATACCGGTTTGCATTAACCTAACCCCAGCTATGCTGCTAAGACATCTTGTGAGTGACTGTGAATCAGATGCATGGCCGCTGCAACAGAGCTGAAGCTGTCTCAGCCCACAGAGGGGAAAAAGTGTGGCTTTAACCACTGTAAATGATGAGCAAAAGGCCATGCAGACAGCACTGAAACTGATGTGCCAGATCCTTCCTCCAGCCACTTCCTCCTGTGTTGGCGGAGGTGGTTTCTGAACCCTGAGCCTACAAGCATGGCACCTCTGCTCTAGAGGAAGTTGGTGCTGTGCAGAAGGAAGCTGCCTGCAAGTCCTGACTCATCTTGCCAGCGCAGTTCAGTGTGGCTTTAAGTGTTGGTTTTGAACTACTACCCAGAAAGAGCCAAGGGCCTTGCTTCCTCGTCCTCTGCCCCTCTTGCCTTGCTGGCTGTGTGTCCCTCTCCCATCAGCTTTGCTCTCTTGGGCCCTGCGTGGAGCCGAGCTGCTACTGCCTATGGCCACACAGACTGAGGACTGCCTCTCTTCTGGGAAGGAGACTTGCCTTGGTCTCTTCCTACTGCTGACAACTTCCAGCAGTTTCAAATAAGTCTTTGAACAAGTCCCTGAACAAGGGAGCCTTGTATTATTTGTAGGTGGCTTACTTTGCTAGAAGTCTGCAAGAGCACCAATCCCCTGCTTGTTCTCTGGTTGCCTTGCTACTGAGAGTTCAGGGGTTTCCCAGCATCCTGTGATAATCACATTTCAACATCAAAGCGAAGCAAGACTGAGAGATTTAAAAAAAAAAAACAACAAACCAAAACACGAAAAACAAACAAAAAAACAAGACCCAAGCATTAAGGCATGAAAACCCTTTTTGATGGCATTTGTGGGGCTGAAGTGACTCAAACTAGTGAGGAACACCCCAGTATTGTCCAAAATATGACACCTGAAGCTGAACAGAACTCATGCTTTTACCATCAAACCCTGCATAAGGGGTTAGAATTGTTATGCTTGGAGCACAGTGTGGAGGAGGGAGAAGTTGCCAGGAGTCACCCTGTGGCCAGGCTTGCCTCCATTGCTGCTCACATCTCCCCTGGTTGAGGAGCTCAGCAGCGTGGTCTTGATATAAGAGCCAAAGAAGTTGCAGTAATGGACCATGCACAGTTTTCTTCTGTTTTTATCCATCCCATACTAATCCCAGAGACCAGCAAGCATGAATCTGGCACCTTACCTTGCACCGTGCAGGAACTACATTCTTTGATCACCCCGGTCTTGTTTGCCTTGGTGGTGGTCCACTGATAGATGAACAGGATGGAGCGGGATGGGCCAGCATCCAGAACAATGCCATACTGGAAAATCCCAAAAAGATTTAAATGAATACCACTGAGTGCTCACTTCTTTGTTACTGTAGGGTTGCTAAGTGTTACCTAGGTACCCTGGGTTGCCTACACTGCATTATTTGAGTTAGCTTTTTACATTCAAAGAAAGAGGTGAAGACAAATGGTGAAGGGCATGTGCTGTGAACCTGCAGCATTACTGAATGAGAAGCAGCAGGAGTAGAAAAATACCCAGAGATGTGTAATTCCTACAGTGGCATGCTCTGCAGCTATTCCTGACAGCAGGCAAAGGGCTTCCATTGCAAGCTGAGCCATCTGGAAGTCAGAGAGGCCCTAGTGCAGTGGAAGAGAGACCTATGCAGTTTGTCAGCTGATTCTGAGACTGACTGCTCTTGGGTTGGTTTGTTAAAGAGGGAAGGCTTTCATGAAGCACTCAGAGGGTTGTGGCTTGCTCCTGCTTCTGAAGAAGCTGAGAATCTCACATCCCTACTGCAGGGAGGGAAAGATGTGATCTGAGTTTGCTCTGATGTGTGCCAAGCCTGCTGAAGTTGCAGCATGTGCTTTTAAATGCAGTGGTCCCATGGAGACCAAGATGATGTCTGGGTAGAAACTGCAGCAGCCACATGAGATTTCTCAACACATTGTGCACTGCCATGTTCTCCTGTTGTATAGTTACACAGAAAACCAAGGGTTTCCCAGCATCCTGTGATAATCACATTTCAACATCAAAGCAAGACTTGAGAGATTAAGAGGAAAACCCCCAAGCATTAAGGCATGAAAACCCTTTTTGATGGCATTTGTGGGGCTGAAGCGACTCAAACTAGTGAGGAACACCCCAGTATTGTCCAAAACATGACACCTAAAGCTGAACAGAACTCATGCTTTTTACCATCAAACCCTGCATAAGGGGTTGGAATTGTCATGCTTGGAGCACAGTGTGGAGGAGGGAGAAGTTGCCAGGAGTCACCCTGTGGCCAGGGGCTTTCTTTGCCTCTGCGGTGCAGGATCTGGTCTGCTTGGGTAGCCCAGTGTGGAACCAGGAGTTGGGCTCCCCGGCCCTTGTGGGTCTGTTCCAGCTCAGGGTATTCTATGATGCTGTACTGACTGAGCTGGAGTACCCTGCAGCCCATGCTCAAAACAGCCTTGGTGCTAGCATAGGATTTCATTTACTACTGCAGTCTGGGACACCTCCTACACAGGGAATCAGTGCAGGAGATCTGGGAGGTGTGTGGCAGTGTATGGTCTTACCTGCATCTTGCACAGAAATATTCATAACTGCGGCTGAGTGGGAGGGGAAACCTTCAGAGAGGTTTGTGCTGTCAGAAAGGTTTTAGCAGAATATGGAGCCTGGCTGCAGCCCTGAGCACTGCCTGCACCCTTCTGGGAGCTTCCAGCTTCGCTGGGCTCAGTGCTGGGGCCAGAGCCCAAGCAGAATGCGGAAGGACGCAGTTCTACCCAAGCCTGCTGGCATCCTCCCACATGAGTGACAGCTCATATTTCTGGCAGGGACGTGTCAGCTGCACTAGGAGAAGAGGAAACGAGTGGTCTTGGCAGAGAAGCTGGGATTTTTTTCTCCTTCAAAAAATGAGAGGCTGCTGCTGGGAGCTCAAGGGGTCACCACATTGATGCCACAGATCAGGGAAGGACAGAGAGCTGCTGGGAAGAACTTGGAGCAATAGGATTTTTTTTTAAATCCAGTTCAGTTTGACAAGCATGAGAAAGGGCAGTGTGTGTCTGAACTTGCGTGTTAACCTACTTCTTTTAAACCACATCACGCAACTGAGCTCATCTCGGCAGCTTTGCATCAAGAAGCACAAGCAGATCTAACTGCTGCATTGAGCAGACTGAATCTTTGCCTAAAATCAAGAGATTAAGAGACAGAAGAAGAGAAGTAAAAAATAAAGCTCTACTGTTTTTCAAGAAGGATGCAGCTCTTTCCCTGTGCTGAAGCTGTGTCTCCTTCCTGCTGTGGGATGGCTCCTGCTGTGGGCTGCTTCTGCCCAGCCTGCACTGAACATCACTGATGGATGGATGATGGTCAGCCTGCTCCCTCCCTGAGCTGGGCACTTGGGCCCAAAGAGGATGGTTTGTCTTTGGCTGAAAAAGCCACGGCATGCTCCCATCCTCAGACCTGTTCTTATCCCTCAATCAGTTGTTTCAGGCTACTAAGTCACTCAGTAGTGTGGTGAATGTAAAAAGCAACAACACACCTGTCTGTAGTTCAAATGCCTAGCTTGCACCAGAGGAGAGCACAAGGAAACCGGCAGGTTCTCCCCAACAAGCAGCCCTGGAGCTGAGGACGTTATCTTTTGCACGTTGTCCTGCATGACCTCGTTTGCCCACCCCTGGCAGAGCCATTCACCCTTACCTTGGTCCTGAGCGGGGCAACGGGCACATCTTTGGTGGAGACGCAGAGCAGCACGATGCCTGTCAGTCCTGCCACGATCACCAGCCAGGGAGGAAGGAGCTCTCGCCAAGACATGGAGCACTTTATACTTTTTCAGACAGTAAAAGAGGAAGCACAGGAGCAGCACAGAGCCCACATCTGACAGCGGCTCCTTTCGGCAGGCTTTAAAAAGAGGAGAAAGGCGGAGCCGGGGCCAGTCTCTGGCTTCAGCCCAATCCCAAGCCGCAGGACCATGAGGAGCACATGGGCTCAGCCACGAGTCCTTCGGCCGGCCATGCAGTTGGTGCAGCTGGCTTTGTGCCATCCTGGCGCTCACTCAACAGCGCTGCAACCTCGAAACCGCCCTGGGCGATGGTGTTGAGGTAAACAAAAATGCTGGGCGAACTCTGTTTAATAAGCAGAAAGCAGGCAAACTCTCATCGCTTTGGTATTCTGTGCCTGGCAGTGCTAGTGAGAGCTGCCAAAATTAGAAGTCAGGAAACTCCTTGTAGCTGGGTTTCCTTTTCATCCGAGAGCTGCGCACGGCTCCACTGTGGGTCTGGGGCACTCCCTGCAACATGCCTTTGTCTGTGAGAGGTGGTTTTGGCATACTGGAAAAATGTCTGTGTGTTTGGGTTTCCATGTGCTGGAGGCTCTGGGTGGCTTACCCTTTGCTATGGGGGCTGCTCGGGCCGTTTGTCCACCCGAGATGAGATCACTATCAGTGCCTGCATGCCCCTTCTCAGCATCCCCATGGGATGGACAGCACTAGACTTAACAAAACGTGCCCCTCTTCCTCCTTTCCTATGTCACAAAGACACATCTCTGAAACTAGAATTTCTGAAGAAAAATCTCATAGCCACAGGAGGGATATTTCCTTCAAGTATTCTGATCAGTTTCCTAGTGATTGGGTCCAGTAATAAAACTGCAGCTGCTCTAAAAGATTTTTGGCTTGAGCAAGCTGGGCTGTTAATTGGTACAGACTTGTCCCAGTGGCCACTGGAGGTTCCCCTGTCAGGCCTCTTCCTGCAGAACCAGAAGAATGGCATCCAAAAACATTCTGGTGTGTTTGGAGATGTGTGTCGTAGTGCTAGAGCTGTTTAAGCCTTGTTTTCCTGCAGATTCAGAGTCATGTTGGGGTTTTGTGGCCCACACCAGGGTGTTTGTCTGAGGGCTCGTGCCTGTGGGCTGCTCATGGCAGTTCGTACCAACATTGTGGCACTGAAAAAGAGGCAACCTTGAAACAAGGGGTTCTTATTTTTGCCCCTGCTTCAGGTGGACTGGGAGGCTCTAAATCATGAAGTTAGAGTTGTTCTGCCAACTGCTGGTCAGTTGCCGGAGGGGTTTTTGTGATGACTTGAATTTGAACTTCTTTGAACTAAAAATGTGCAAATATTCCTATGCAGCCACAAGGGAAAGTACTGCAGTCTGCTTCTGCGTGCCATGTCTGGATAGGTTGTCTGGGGTACGAGGTGTCCGTGTAAAAACTCATACAAATCTCAAAGTAACCCAGCTGGAGATTCCAGCCAGGCAGGGAAGAGAACAACCTGGGGCATGGCAGGAGATCTCATGGAGAATAAAAGTAGGATTATTATTCCACTCTGTAGCAACTATCCTGAAAATTTGGTCCTGTGGAGGCCAAAGGATGGTTGTAGAAGGGCTCCTTTCCCTTGCTGTCTGTTGCAAATCTCCCAAAACACAGCCAGAAGACAAGAGCTTGGGAGGAGACACTGATTTATTCTGCACAGGGTGTGAGGTGGGATATTCCCACAAATCTAGTGCACAGTCTGTACACTGGCTTCTGCTATAATCCAATAAGTTTTCATGACTCACCTATCTAATATGTAATGATAGAAAAAGAGGGAATGGCCTCAAGCTGCACTAGGAGAGGTTCAGATTGGATGTTAGGAAGAATTTCTGCCCCAGAGGGAGGTGTTCCATCCCCCAGAGCATTTCTGTGGCCCTCCTGTGGATGTGCTCCAACAGGTCCCCATCTCTCATAACCGCTCCTACCTAGTGCATATTCATAGGATTACGTACGTACAAGGCTACATGACGTATTTGAATCTTCTGAGCTCACTTGGGACCTTCAGTGTTCTTTGGTGGAAGTCTGGGGAGGTGTCCCACTCTTTGGTTATCCATGGGTGCAAGAACACCTCGTCCCTTCTGGCTGGCCGCTGTCTGGGACTTGTACCTCCTCTGGATGGCTGTCCTTGTTCCTTATTTACGGCACCCGGATCTCTGAAGAGAAGTTCCATCACAGGAAGGTTGTTTTTCCGCGATAAGGAGGACATCTGGAACTTAAAGCTGTGCTCGAGCCTTCCGCCACACAAAAATGTTAAATAATCGCCTTCTGAGTCATCTGCCTTTATGATGTCGGCTGCATTTCCCGATCTCATCCCCTCCTTCCCGGGATCAGCCGCGAGGTCTCAGCTTCCCGGAACGTTTGTTCGGCGGATCGAGTTCCGGACGGACAGAACGAGCGTCGGACCGCGCCGCGCTGGGGGACCGGGAGCGGACGGACCGCGGCGGGAGAGGGGCCGGCTGGGAGGCCGGCTGCCATGTACGCGGGGCTGCAGGAGCTGGGGGTGGCCAACGGCGAGGATCTCAAGGAAACGCTGACCAACTGCACGGAGCCGCTGAAGGCCATCGAGCAGTTCCAGGTGGGGCGGGTTGCCACGGAGACGGCGGGGCGAGGAGGCCCGGGTGGCGTCCGTGCTTTGTTTTGGGGTGAGAGGGCCGCGGGTGGTGCCTGTGCTTTGCTCCGTGCTCTTTTGGCCCCTTTTTTAATTATTATTTTTTTTAGTAGCCTTTGCTGACCGCCTCTGTCCCCCGTTTGTGTTGGCAGACAGAAAATGGGGTCCTGCTGCCCTCGCTGCAGTCGGCCCTGCCCTTCCTGGACCTGCACGGCACCCCCCGGCTGGAGTTCCACCAGTCGGTGTTCGACGAGCTGAGGGAGAAACTGCTGGAGCGAATCTCAGCCATCGCCTTGGAGGGGAAGGTGGAGGAAAGGTCTGTAGGCTGGTTGGTTATGTAGGCTGGGAGGAGGATTTAATGTGAATGTTATCTGCAGTGGGCAAATGGCTTCTGAAAAAGGCTTGAGGCTTCTGGAGGCTCAAGTTGCAGTGTTTGAGATGACTTTTGCAGTTAAATGGTAGTTAGAGTCTCTTGGTCTTATTTGTTTTCAGGTACAAGAAGCTGGAAGATCTCCTGGAGAAAAGCTTTTCCTTGGTCAAGATGCCTTCCATACAGCCTGTGGTAATGTGTGTCATGAAGCACTTGCCCAAGGTAAAACTTCTGCTTAGGCTGGCCTGTTCAGTTGTGTCCATGGTGGTTTGTTCTGTTGCATCTCTGTTGTACAACTTCTCTTGTCTGTGCTGTTGGCTGGGCTGCAGGCTCCAGCTGCAGATGCTCTGCAAGCATCAGTGCAACTGACTGAATATTTACTGGACTCTTGTGTCTGGATAACAGCTTGATACGCTCATTGAAAGAGCATTTTAGTATCTCAGAATCAGGTGAGACAATTTCCCGATCTTATTCAATACATGTGGCTTCCTAAAAGTAGTCAAAATCACTAGTAAGTGAATTTTCCCATAGCTGATATGAAAACTTATGGCAAGCTGAAAGATTTTTCAGAAGGTAATTAGAAGGATACAGGATAGAGGCTCAGATTTGCGAAACAAAAATTTCAAGAAGCAGCTTTATTAAAAGCACTGTATTGTACTTAAGGTAATTACCAGGCTGGATGGGGCTTTGAGCAGCGATCTAGTGGGAGATGTCCCTGCCTATAGCAGGGGGTTGGATCTAGATGATCTTAAAGGTCTCTTCCAACCCAAACCATTCAATGATAATTGATTCACAGTGAGGTGACGGAGCACTGGAACAGGCTGCCCAGGGAGGTGGTGGAGTCTCCTTCTCTGGAGATGTTCAAGACCTGCCTGGATGCCGACCTGTGCGACCTGCTGTAGGGAACCTGCTTTGGCAGGGGGTTGGACTCGATGAGCTCTGGAGGTCCCTTCCAACCCCTACAATTCTGTGATTCTGTGATTCTGTGATTCAGAACTGTTCCTTTCGTAAGCAGAAGAGTTCTGAATAACCCCAAATCTCAGTGTCATACATTTAGAGAAAATCTTTTGTCTTCTTAGAAAGGAATAAGGAAAAAATCAATGTGTTATTTGCTTTTTTAAAAAGTTAAATTTCTTTGGATTGCCTTATTGCTACTAGAGTAGGGAGGGCAGAAGATGAATCTGTGACACTTTATTTAATTACATTGCTATGTAAATTACCAGGTTACCTGAGATTGTGATTTAGATGTCTTCTGCAGTCAGTTACTTGTTGGAAAGTCAGGCAGGTGAGGTTCTTGACATGGAGGTAACTGCTCTGTTGATCATAGGTGCCTGAGAAGAAGCTGAAGTTAGTAATGGCTGACAAGGATTTGTATAAAGCATGTGCAGTGGAGGTGAAGCGCCAGATTTGGCAGGATAACCAGGCTCTGTTTGGTGATGAAGTATCTCCACTGCTGAAGCAATATATCCTGGAGAAAGAAAACATTCTCTTCAGCAACGATATTTCTGTCCTGCACAACTTCTTCAGTCCATCTCCCAAAGCAAGACGTCAGGGAGAGGTAAGAGAAGGAAATCTCTTACAACGTGCTTCTGAATGTTGTTCAACAGCTTCCAGTCAACCTCATCACACTGTGGAGTGTTCATTTCACCCATCCAACTTTGCTACTGAAGCAGATCAGCCACTGAGATATGGGCCATTTTGTCTTGATCAAAGCACCAGGAATTATTTTAATAGCTGCTCGATGCTGTGTAATTATTTATTAATGTTCATAGCTGTCCATGAACTTTAAACATTTTCCTTGTTGCTTATCCTGGCAATATTGCTCAGCTGTCCTGAAGCCTGAGCCTCCCTATCAAATCAATTTGATTATCTTAAATGTCTTTTATTGTTGTGTTTGTTGTTTTTGTTGTGTGGGGTTTTTTTTGGGTTGTTTTTCTTTTTTTAAGCAGGACAGACAGACACCAATTCCTTAATATTATTTTTAATGGAAAAGAGCATTCGAAGTTGTAGCTGTGTTTGTATTCAGAAAAGTTACTCTTTAGGTGGAATTGTATCAGCTCAGGTGGAGCTGATCTAATACTGCTGCTGGGAGGGCAGGTGCTGCACCTTCCATCCTTGCCAGTTGCTCTGGTAATATCAGACCCTTTCATGAGCTGAGTGCATCATTAAGTGCAAATAAAACCAGTAAGTGGTTTTCCAAGACGGTGAGTTGAATCTGCTCAAAGATGAGGTAATCAGGACCAAACAGGGCTGGATTTCCACTGGCAAGCTTGATGTGGGAGGGAAGAGCATAGGTGTAAGGAGTTGGTCTCTCTCCTTTTTGGTAACAGTAAGTCATTAGTAAGTCATTAGATTGGCTCAGCTGTAATTGGTCATTTCACCTCATGGAGCCCTTGCTCCAGAAGGGAAATACCAGAGTTTCTGTAAGGATCTTGCTGTTGAGAATGTAAAGGAATTGCAGTGATAAGGCAGCATAATTAATTTAATTTCAGAGCACAGTACCTCTTTTACTTGAAGGATATAGTTTAGATCTGTTTTGCTCTCAGAAGCCCACTTTTAGTGCAAGTGCTCTGCTGTTTCCTTTTTTGCACTGCAGTCTTCACCTTTGTTCTCATGTCCTGTAACCTGGAAGTAGTTAGAAATACAAAAAGACTTCCAAAGAAAGATGAGCTGCTTTCCACGTTTTATTAATTGCAGATTACATAATTTGATATCAGGTACTGTTTCTTGCCTTTTGGTAGAGCTGAGCAGCTTCACTTTACAAATGCTTCCTTTTTTTTTCCAAGAGAGCCAATTTTGAAATTCCTGGCTCTTTCAGTATGGCCATGAAAAAATTGATGATTATGAATCCTGGGTTAAAATAGCTCCTTTTAAGGAACTCAGGTTAATGTGGATGGTTCAAACTTGGTGAGTCATGTAAATGCAGGAATCACTTGCATTTTGTGTGTGAAGTCACAGTATCTCTTGGTACTGAGTGCATGTTTTTCCACTTTGGATTTAGGTGGTTCAGAAGCTGACTCAGATGATTGGGAAGAACGTGAAGCTCTACGACATGGTGTTGCAGTTCTTGAGAACTTTGTTCCTCCGGACAAGGAATGTGCATTACTGCACGCTGCGGGCAGAGCTCCTGATGTCACTGCATGACCTGGAAATCAGTGAAATCTGCACTGTTGACCCTTGTCATAAGGTATCAGTCATGTGGGGCAGATGGGAATATTACTGCAGAATTGTCTGTTTGATCCACTCCTGTGATACCTGCTGCCCTGCAGGACTTCAGGCCATGACTTCTCTCTGAGAAGAGAGTTCAGCCCTTGAATCCAAAAGTCACCTTATAGTCCTTGGAACTTCAGGTGAAAACTCTGTCTTGGTTAACCAGCAGCTTGCTTTCATTTCAGAACCCATGAATGATTCAAATTTGTGGTACTTTCACACCACTGGGGGAAAAAAAAAAAAAAGAGCTAGCCCCAGGTTCTTAATCAAAGCTTGCTCTCCTTCCCGTTGTGCTGGTGTGACACACTCCATCTGTCAGTAAGCTGTGTGTGTAACATGAAATACTTTGAATCTTGAGTTATAGAAACATGAAGCTATTAAAGTAATGGGATGTGGTGGGCAGTGTTAATGTCACATCAGGATCTCATTACTGGTCCTTTGCCCATAGTCAGGATTGTTCCGATCTACAGGAAAGCTTTTTTTTCCCCTAATAATGCTGCTAAGCTTTGGGTGTATTCAGCTTACACAGAGTATGTCCTGGAGTGATGATAAACATTACTGCGTGCTCTTTAATGTTGTCTGATCAAGAGTCTCAAAATCAGTGTATAGACAGTGACTGAACAGAAAAAGGATCATTACTGTTCAAGGTGCAGATTGTTGTTGGTGATCTCATTTTGCAGAGACTAGTGAGAAAAAATAAGCCACGATGAAACATTTCAGAAAGTTGAGCAAGTTTTTCTTTCTTGGCATCTGAAATATTGAGAAAAGCTTAGGTGTTTTCTTAAGGGGGGAAAAAAAAGTCAAAGGCAAACCCACAGGTTTAGGTCAGGGAAAACAGTTCACTCAACTGTCTTTCCATTTTAGTAAGAAAGCAGAAACGTCTCTACTTTTAATAAGCCCTACTCACAGGGTGGAAGCAGTGGAACATTGGCTAAAAAAAATCTCATGTTCTTACTATTAAGTGATGTAGTTTCCATGGCCTTACCTGCCAAGGAATACCTGCCACAGAAGGGGAGGAAGTGACAACAGTTTAACTTACATTGGAACTTCTGACCTCTTTTTGAGATGTTTTTGTATTCAAGCTCCTTTGTATTTGTGATCAGCTTGTTACCATACCCGAGTACATTAACAGAACTGTTAACTCCCAAGGTTTGGAGGTCATTCCAAGCCTGTTTTCCTTGATACTGTGTATTTTACTGCCAGTCTGTCACTGTCATGAGCATTCTCATTTTCTGAGTAGTTCACGTGGTGCCTTGATGCCTGCATTCGGGAGAAGTTTGTGGACAACAAGAGAGCTCGGGAATTGCAAGGCTTTCTGGATGGAGTGAAGAAAGGACAAGAGCAAGTTTTGGGGTAAGCTGCTTAGGCCCTTTATTGATACACTGCAAATTGGGTTCCAGTTGTCACAATATGAGACGTAGTTGAGGTGTTAATTCTTCCCTAAAACCAGCAGGCAGTCAGTAGTTCTTCTCCATGGTCAAGTGCAGCGCATTCAGCAGCATTACTGCACCAGAGCATATTCAGACAGCTTCTGGCCAGAGCCTTGGTAATGCTTCAGTTACCTTGAGTAATTGTCGCAGGTTTCTCTGTGACCTTGTAACTGTGTGAGCTCACACAGCTACACTTCAGCTCTGAAGACCTTTGGTAATTATTTTCTTTGGCTCGACAGAGCAGGTTATCTGGAATCACATTCATGACGTTTTCACAAAGGCAGGAGAAGATTTGTGGAATGGAAACCTGTGGGTAATAAAAGACAGGAATTTTATTGTGAGTTTTATGTTACAATAGTTAAGATATTGTTGCCCATTATCACAGCAGTTTCTGGTTTTGTGTTGATTTACTGCACGTACTACTCTGACATTACATCTAGCAGTTGACAGGATTACAACAGCACTGTTCTGTGTTCAGTGAGGCACATCTAAGAAGCGAGTGTCCTACAGCTGGGTATGAGACTAGCCTGCTGCGATGGAGTTAGGAGTGGTGTGCATTTATTTGACTCGTGCCTCTTCTCTCAGGGACTTGTCGATGATCTTGTGTGATCCCTTTGCCATTAACACCTTAGCCCTGAGCACCATCAGGCACCTGCAGGACCTCGTTGGGCAGGACACCTTACCCAGGGTGAGTGTTGCAGCAAGCGTAGCCAACGCGACCCCTAGTCTGAACTGAACAGCGGTCATCAGCAAACAGCTGGCAATGTAGAAGAAGTAGGATCAAGTTTTTAAATGCATTTGTAGGTTGAAATAAGAGAAGTGTAGTTCTGGCTTCCTGTTTGTATCAAATACCTTTGAGATCTGCAGGAGTGCTGTGTGGAGGGAGGCGTTTTGGAGCAATCTGAAATAACCGTGAATTCTTTGTATGGCCCCTTCTGTCCTGACAGCTGTGTATGTACACCCCTACTTTGTCCTTCCAGCAGGGTACTAAACAGCAGCAGCCTTTATTCCCTGCCGTGGTAAATGTGATGGTTCATCTGACACTGGTCTGCTCTGTTGGCTGCAGTACAGTGCAGTTCCTGCAAGTAGTGTCTGCAGGAGGCAATTCAGTGGAAAGGGAAGGAGCCCTACAGACATCTGACCTGTGTGAGGCGTTTGCTGTCTTCATCTCTGAGCTGTCAAATTTCAGTGTTGGATTAAATAAGTTCTTCTTGGCAGTTTAAAATTGAAGATTGTTTTGGTTTCAGGGCAGAATATAAAGGCAAAAACTTGTTCTTATGCACACTTCTTACTTCTGCTGAGATGATTTGATTCATCCTGTCACACTGTATTTCAGTATCCTGATTTGGTTGGACACCTTAAGAGCAGTGTCCTGCTCAGATTGCCTGCATTCTTCTTAGCACATTATAGAATGCCACGAAGAACAACTCTCAGCTGTGTGTTCTTCCTGCAGCTGTTTGATTCCCATTTTAGGAATCAGCTATCAATTTAATTTGAGAACTGAATGCCTCTCCTGTTAGTCCAGGAGGGCTTTGAATGTAAACCACTGCTTCCAGATAAATACTTGTATGTTAAATTGTGGAAGATCAAACTAGCTGTTTTTTCCCCTCTTTAAAATTCAAGGAAAGCCCAGATCTGCTGCTGCTCCTTAGGATGCTGTCTTTAGGACAGGGAGCCTGGGACATGATTGACAGTCAAGTCTTCAAGGAACCAAAAATGGTGAGCTTTCTTTAGATCTGTTTCTTATTTGATGTACATTGTTTCCTTGATTTAATCCTCAAGTCAGCTTTCTGCGTATTTTTCAACAAGAGCTTTCTTCAAAGAAGCAGTAAGTGGCCACTGCACAGCAGCTCAAATGGGCATGCTGGGATGCTGTAAGCTTCGTGTTTCATTTCCATGGATGTCTGCCCTTACTGTTTCTAAGTTGAACTGTTCCTCTCTTTAATTCTTTAGCCTACTGTGCTGTGAATCTGATGCAGTACTGTTTTCTGTGAAGAGAAGATGCACATAAATACTTTGTCTTGCTACTCTAGTTATGCATTGATCTCTGTCAGTTTAGGGAATAAAGAATATGATTTGTAAGTGCTGTTAAAAGCAATGGTACCATCCTCAATGTGCAGAGCAGTGCTTGCTCCAACGTCTGTTGGAGGAGGTGCTACATCATTGTCCAAAGAAAGCTTTTGAGCAGGGCTGGGTGAAATACAGTTGTCCTCATTTCCACTGGATCGTGTGGAAGTTTCAGGGAACTGGGTGTCTGAAGGCCTGTTTGCAGAAGCGCAGGGTGGAGCTGATAACATTGCCTCAGCATTTGTTACGGTGCTGTGGAATTATGAGGTGGTGTGAACTGATTGATGAAAACATTCTCCTTTTTCCTCTCTCCTTCCATCCCTCTAAGGAAGCCGAATTGATTACAAAGTTCTTGCCTATGCTGATGTCCTTTGTGGTGGATGATCACACGTTCAATGTAGATCAGAAGCTGCCCTCGGAGGAAAAGGGGCCGATTCCCTACCCCAGCACCATTCCTGAGGCTTTCACCAAGTATGTAATCTGTGTTCCCAGCTACTTTTTACACATTGGTCTTGTTACTAAAGCAAAACGTGAAGAAACCACTCAACACTGACAGAAGAAAATACTGTATGTGGTAAAGACTTTTTGGGCAGTAAGATTTAGTCCTGGTTAATCAAACCTGCACTTCACTTTTAGTGAAATGGGTTTCTACCATGATTCCTCAAATGAAATGTATCTACATAAAGTATGTATCTTGTTTGACCATTTTACATCAGAGTGAATATGAAAGTACTTTGTAGCACTGTTTTCAAATAGTGCTGAGTCTGTAACTCTCCAGGCAGTGCGTGATGCATGCTGAAGTGATACCATTTCATCTGAGTGCAGCTGGATAAGTGCCCATGCTATCTGGGGAGTGCTATTGTGAATCTTATTTTACATCTCTGTCACACAGACACTCTCTGTTGATAACTTATCACTCCAGGGGCTTCAAAGAGATAATTAGAAATCCTCTTTGTGTTCTCTCATATTCAGATCTTGCACTAATTTCCAGCACAGTTCTTGTCTGTATGCCATGATCTGGAGTACTGAATCCCACTGGTTGGATTTATGTTTGCTCTGTGACAGAGCTGATGTTTGACCTCTAGGAATCCATAAAACAAAACACTGCTGTGCTTTCTATCATTGTAAATTACTGGAGCTTTTTTTAAAACCCTTATTAAATTTATCACTTATCATTAATGCTATTTAAAATGTTCACAACCAGATCTAACTGTATAATTGTGAGATAATGCAATGCTTGCTGAATGGTAGAATTTTCCTTGGCTCTGACAGCGGATTTAGTGATGCTCGTTATCTGAGTAGCTGTTTTCCTGTGGCTCTGAGGTTAACCATTGCTGTAACTGCTTGATTCCTATCCAACACTGTTTTAACCTCTTCTAAGAAAAAAAAAAAAAAAAAAGATTTATTTTTATTGATTAAAAAGCTTTGCTCCTTCTTTAACAGATTCTTGCAGGAGAACAGAATAGCTTGTGAGATTGGGCTGTACTATATCCTTCACATAACAAAACAGAGAAACAAGAATGCTTTCCTCAGGCTCCTGCCAGCACTAGGTGAGTTTTTGTCTTGGCTTCTGTTCTTCAGCTGCTTCCCTTGTCTTGGAGACCCAGGGGTCAAGTAACAGTCTGAAATGAAACTGATTTCAGAGACAAATGCATATATTTACTTTTGCCTCCTCCTGTGACTTAATTGTTAAGCCCTGCAGGATTACATGTTTGTTTTTTGTCTGCAATTAGGATATTTTTTCTGCTGATGTGAGAACTTAGGGGTAGTGACTGAAGGTCAGTAGACATCAAAGGCTGTATTAGCAATGGGATTAGCTGAGAGCTTTTACGAATGAGACTGAAAGATAAAAATGTAGGTGACTTAATTCTGCAGCTGCTCACAGTAATTGCATGTGGCCAGATATTTTTTGAGACTTGGGTTTGTGTGCTGGAAAAATGTGGAACAAAACAAGACCAAACACAGCCCTAAGTTCCTCCTGGGTTTACCTTCTGAACTGACCTCTCTGGGTTAAGTTGTGTGAAAGTTCTGCAGCACGCTTAGGAACTGCAGCTCCCAGCAGTGGGGTGGATTCCCCACTCTCCCTGTTACCCCAACAGTTCTTTGGACCCTTTGCTTAATGGGCAGCTCACTTAGATGGGTGACTTTTTCACTGGTAAGCAGTTTGCATCTGTTCACTGTGGGGTCTGAGGAGTGCAGGGAGGTGGTTGTGGCCGTGAGCACAGAGCTGTGGAAAAGTATAGCAGGGGTCCCCGTGATTCTGACAGCAGCAGACTGCTCTGTGTGACTTCATCTTGATGGGAGACGTGGGTTTTCTTCATATTTTTCTCAGCTCTGCTCCTCAGGTGGAAGTTCACAGCCACCTGCCTGGGCTACCTGTTGTAAAAGCCAGTAAGGAAAAGTTTTCACGGAGATTTCAGCAGGAATCTCTGCTGTGCAATCCAGGTTTGGCACAGATTTGTGAGTCTCAGTCTCTGCCTTTTTATGTTGTGCAGTTGAGACGTTCAGTGACTTGGCCTTCAGTGATATATTTCTGCATCTGCTCACTGGTAACCTCACACTGCTGGGTGATGAATTTGCAGTTGAAGAGTTCTGCACCGGTCTCTTCGATGGCTTCTTTCTCACTGCATGCTCAAGGTAAATCTGATTTTCCTCAGAGGCAGTGAGTTTGTAAGAGAACTGAGGGAGGCTGTGCTTCTTTGGACTGTTGTTTAACGTTTCAGCAAACTCTTCATGTACAGTTGAAATCATTAGTCTGCTGCCTTTTCTTTTAGGAGAGGTATATACTGTGATAAAGTTCTTAACAGCAGAATTGCTAAATGTTTCATGTTGGTGTTGATTACCTGAACCATAATTTGTTATTCTCAAGTTGGAGTTAGAAAAGATAGCATCCTTCATGCTTTGCAGTGGCTGTGAATATGAAGCACTAACTGCAGCTCTTTGCTGTAAAAGCTGCATGGAGAAAAAAACCCGTTTGTTAATTCTCTTAAGCCTGTGTGGTTTAACTGGTGGCTGTCAAACCAGATCTAATCTCTGGAAGGCTCCCCCAAAAGCAGTTTGCTCCTCATAGGATGGGGGCAGGATACCCTCCTGTGTGGTCATATGGCTCATCCAGCACAGCTGAGGGAGAGAAATTGCTGCTCTGTGCTGCAGCCTCTGCTTAAAATCTGCCCCAATTCCCTGTGGTTGCTACAGTTAGTTCACCCCTGTTGATTGATTTAGATGCATTAGCTGGAGATCCGAGGCAGGGGTGGCACTTTGTAACAGGCAAGCAACTCCTGGGTATTTTGGAGGATTACAACAGAGCTGTCAGTCCTCAGTTGTTTGCTATTCTTCTGGTAGCATTGTTGTAGCTTTCTCATTCTGTAGGCCGTGTTTGTGTGTAACTGTTTCTCTGCTTTAAACTTGCTTTTTTTCAGAAAGGAGAATGTACACAGACATGTACTGAGATTGCTGCTTCATCTGCATCACAAAGTGGCGCCTGCCAAATTAGAGTCTCTCCAGAAGGCTTTGGAACCCACCAAACAGGTAATGAGAAATGGAAAATTAATTGCAAATGAAAGCATCTGCATTTCCCAGACCTTGCTTAATGGAATGTGTGCTTTGTTCAGTTAGCAGCTTTCCAAGTTGTCTTAATTACTTGCAACTTCCTCGTTCTGCATTGGTTTGTGTTAAAACATGGAGGTTAATTGTGTGTTTAGTGCTGTAGTTCATAGCAGCAGAAATGAAGTCTGACTCTTCTGGTTTTCCTTTCCCTAAATCTCTTTCTGCAGAGTGGGGAGGCTGTGAAGGAGCTTCATAACCAGCTCACTGAGAAACTGGAGCTTCGCAAGCCCAGTCCTGCCGAAGTGACTGAGACTCCCTCCATGGAGCTGCCCTTGCCCACCGTGCCCACACCAGCCTCACGCTGAGCTGTGTTTGCATTGCAGGAGTGAGACAGCGAAACGGGCCTCGTGCTCAGCAGCCTGAGGGCGCTGTCCTGCCTTGTCAACGGCTGCCCGCAGGGTGGAAGCAAAGAATAGCCACTCAAAAAGCTCTCTGGGGAAACGCTGCGGTTTACCCAACTGTCTCTTGCTGGTTAGAAAACTCTGTATGCAGTGCATTGCAGAGGTTTACTTTTCTTAAAGGTAGCTGAGTGAGTGTCTTGTAGATCTACTTACAACTGACTGTACAATTTTTTTTTTTTTTTTTTGAAAAAGAAAAGGCATATTTTTAAGCTGTGCATCTTGTATTCTTTATTTCAGGAACTTACAACTGGCTGTCTAATACATGGCTGAGCAGATAGTGTGAGCTCCTCAAGGCTAACCTGGTTTTTCCTGGCTGTTAGTGGGCTCCTCTGGGTCTTTAGAGGATAAACTCAGCAAACAAATGTCAGAGGAGATAAGCTCCACTGATGTGATTTCCTGTTTCTGTTTCTAGCAGTTTACTTCATGGTAAAACGTGCTGCATTAGTGAGGGACGTCCACCACTGTCACTAGACCAAGAAGCAGTGATCTTGTGAAGAACATCAGAAGCTGAATCAGTCCCCTGCTTTCCTTTCTCTCCCACTTTTTCCAAAGAAAGAGCTTGAAATGAATCTTGGCTCCAGTGAAGTAAGACCTGAATGCTGGTAGGGTTTGGTGTAGGAAGGGTGAAATAGTGACTGAAAGAATAGCCTGTTCTCCATGGCTTGTCTGTGTTTGCTGTCTGTACTGTTGCAGTTAATTCCTGTTGTGCTTTTACTGTTGCCTCAGTGTAAATATCAGGCAGAGTATGCAGGAAGATGGATTTGGGAGAAGAATGAGTTGTGTGAGCTTTACAAGTGACTTTGTGTTGGTCTCAGCCCATACAATATATGTAAAATCTCATCAGTCCTCTGTAAACAGGAAGTTGCCTGCAGGAGGGATTCTGAATCGCAGGCTAACGCAGCTATGAAGGCACTTCTGAGGGTCTCTGCTTACCCTCTCACTCAGACCAGGGCTTACCCAGAAAAGGTTGCTTAAGAGCAGAACTTTGTATTTCCCTTTAAGTTTCCTGAGGCTTCTGTTAGGCCGTTTCTCCAGCCCAGTGAGGTTCCTCTGAACAGCAGCCCTGCCCAGTGTGTCAGCCATTCCCACAGTTTGGTACCATGTGTAAATTTGCTGAGGGTGTGTTCTGTCTTTGGGTTGTGAATAGAGGCATTAAACAATGTTAGCCTCGTTACAGACCCCTGAGGAATGTTAGGAGTAACTGGCTGCCAGTTGGACTTTGTGCTGTTGATCTCAACTCTCTGGGACTGGAGTCTTGCCAGTTTTCCTATGCAGCTATCTGATGCACAGCAAAATGATTTGGCTATGTGTGTTCTTCAGACAATTGTGTCCAAAGCCATCTGAAGTCAAGCTAAACTGCACTGCTCTCCTCTTGTCTGCCAAGCCAATCTTCTTAGAAAGTTATCAGAGTTTTCAGGCACTGTTAACTGTGCTGATCATGCTGTCGCTTTCTTGTCCTTTTATTTTCCCAGCACTAATTATTTTCTTGGGGCTCAAGCACTTCTGGTGCCAAGCCATATCGTGAGACTTTTCCATTTCCTGAAGCTGAATGGAAAAAAAAAAAAAAAGAGATAATTGAGCAAAGATGGAAATCCCTCCGAGGAGCTGCTGAACTCCCTTTGTGTAGCTTTCTTCCTCCCCAGATCTCAAGTGCTGCGTGAGGAAAGCAAGTACTCTTCATTGCCTCAGTGCCTTGTTTTCCACTTGTGAGGTTGTCTGTGTCTTTTGGGAAAACTGGGAAGACAGCATGGGTCTGTGAGCGAGGAAGGGCTGCTGCCTTCTCATCCCTGCTGCCTTTGCACTCCTTGTCTCCTGGGCTCAGCATGGCCTTTGTGGAGCCTGGGCAGTTCTTGCTGGCAGACTCCTGATGCTGAACTTGCTGGAAACAGGAACTGCTTGTAACAATCAGTATTTTCTTGCAAAGCTTGGTTTTTAAACCATTTAAACTGACATGTAACTTACACAGAGCAGCATCCCACACTGCTTGGAAACCTCTCACAATTAACTCCCTCCAAGCTGTGTTCTGCTCAGCCCCGGGGTCCGTAGCTTTGTGTGCAGGTTCTCTTTGTCACTGAAGTCTTCCCATACACTGCAGCCTGATTTGCTACTCTCTGGCAGCACGAACTTGTTTTTTAATTCAGGCTGACTGAGAAATGTGCAGTTCAGTAGGAAAACCTCTTGTGTTTTACCCTGTGTCGACAGTGCTGGGGATTACTTTTTTACAGCCTTTAAGATCTACAGAGGTGGCACAAAGAAATTGAGTCCTGGAGCATGTGCTGATGATTTCCTGTGCTAGTTGATGCTTCAGCTGAGAGATCAGTGGGCAGGGGAGAATGGGAATGGCTGCCACTCTGCACTCTCTTGACTTGCTTTCTTCTGAAAAGATGTGATAAATTAGCAGAAACATCTCTCAGAAAATATTTTTTTCAGAAGTGACCATCCCAGTCTGTGGGCATTCATGGAGATGAGAGTGCTTTGACTCCCAGCAATTATACAGACTGCTGCTTTTGTGTCAGCTCGCACTGCCCCGTGCTGTAACTGCCAGCTGAGGTACAACCGAACGGTGTGAAAGAATTACGTATTCTTTTCCTCTTTGCCTTTTCTTAATGCCCCACGTGCCGCCCTTGGTAACGAGGTGCGGCGCAGTGGCGCGCGGTGCAATGGCGTGCAGTGCAGGGTTTGCTCGCTAGGGGGCGGTGCACCACTGAGCGCCTGCCTCCAGCGCTGCTGCCTGAAATGCTCCCAGCTGGCGTGCAGCGCGGCGCTGGGGCTGCCTGCCCTGTGTTGACACTCGGGTTACGGTTTGTCTTTACGGCGGGGATGTGATACCTGTGGTATGGAAAAACAGCGTATTCTCACCAAGCCTGCTGTGTGACTCGGGGAGGAATTTTTTACAATGAATTCTAATTAGCTTGAGCAATCTCGTCCTCTCTGTGTGTTTTTCCGGAGAGATCATGGTAACTAATAGCCCTGAGAGGTTCTCCAGGCTTTTTGGATGGTTAACATTTAACTGAAATTTCATGTTGAGCTTTGAAGCAACTCATTTGGATTGAGGTACATTAGCAGATTGACAGAGCACTGGAACTGCAGTATTGTAGTTGACAGGAGAAGCTCCAAAATTTGGTTACTGAGGCCAATGCTAGCAGAGGAATCAGGTCTGGGTTATGCAGAATTAGTGGAAAAAAAATGTTTATAATGGTATAATTTACTTCTGAAGGACCTGACACCAAAAGCATGGCACAGCATCATTTCACATCACCCAGATTCCACCTGACACGATGATTTGATGCAGGAAATCTCTTTGTGGACTGAGGTAAAAGAGGCTGAACAAATCTGCTTGGACAGAGAGAACATGAAGATCCCCCTGGATAAACACCAGTTGTTGTGAGTCTTGCTGTTTTGTCAGAACTGTTTTTAGGTGATTCCTGGTCACCTCTCTATACAACAGCATAAAGAAAACCTGCCATGGGTTTCACTTTGAAGATGCTTGAGTTAGAAAAAGTTGGCCTGTTTGCACAGTGCATGTCTGGCCTGTTCTTGCAGAAATGAAGTCTCACACTGTCCTGAACCTCACTCACCCTTCAAGTCCTGTGTGAGGCCAAAGTAAGGAGTCAGGCACTGGGCTTACGAGGAAATGTTCCTCTGCCCCATCCCAGCAGGTGGCTGGTGTGGCACAGCAGTTCCTGCAGGAAGGAATCGGGCACATTCCTGACCAGTACCACATCAGAGAGCAGGTATGAAAATGCACTGAAGTGATACTGGTAAGAAAAGCTAATGAATGATAAATACAAATCACAGAATTTCCTCTTGTGAGCATTTAAAACTTAAAATGATTGTATTTTCTGATCTTAATGATTTTGACAGCCATGGGACCACAGGGAAGCACCTGTTGGGTTTACATACTGTGTTCTTCACTACCTCCTCTGCTGTACCTGCAGCACCTGGGCACGCTGCTGTTGGGCTGGACCTGCACTGCTGCTTCTGCACATGCCCTTCCTTGCCTTCCTCTCCTTTTGGTGTCCTGCTTCTCTGGATCTCCCCATGGCTGGGTAACACCTCTGCCTGATATCTGCCTGATAATGTCTTTCTGGAGAAGGCCATGCCCTGTGCTTGGCACAAACCCTTCCCTGACCAGCACTAGCTTGAGGACCTCGCAGGCAGGAAGAAAATGTTCTTGCTGATTCTGTTCCAGTGCCTGGGCAACATCTACCAAAGTTCCTCTAGGCTGGAAAGTGCTCTGAAAGAACGGGAGCATTTTACTAGGTGTTGCTGTAGATATTCCACTGTGTCCTTACTATGAAAGCTCTGAATTTCCATGGAGATCCTTCCAATTCAGGCATTGAAAGCCTGGCACCTTGATGAGGGATGGTGAATGTCCACCAGTGCCTTCAATAGAACTCTACAAAAAATCCAGATGGGAGCAATTCCATTGTATCATTTACCTCCCATAAAAGGAAGCTTATTGTTCAAAAAGAGGGCAGTATTCTGACAGCCTTCAGTGCCGGAGTTACAGGAGTTACATCCTGCACTTCTGAATTAAACCTTAGCTGGTGGTAAAGAATTGTGAAACCGACCTCCTAGAGGGCACTGACTGCCAACTTTGGCTTTCCAACCCAATGACAATATTTCTCACATCGTACCACAGAACTCACAGCTGGGACCATTGTAAGGGTGGGCCCTGTTAGGCTCCAGGGATAAAAATTGATGGGGACCCAGCAGTTCAAGCTGTGCATCTTCGTGTGTGTGAATGCTGAAAGCCTCTGCTTGCTGGCAGAACATTCCGTTCTGCCTCAGTGCTGCAGGCACTTTGAAAAGTGGTCGGGAGTGGTGGGTTGTGGTGCAGATGGCTGGAAGGAGCCGGGCATTTAGCTGAGTGACAGAAAGTCTGCAGCAGATGCCAGGAGGCAGAAACTGGAGTTATTCCTCTCCAAGATGATGCTGGATGGTTTGGGCTTCCCAGTCACCTGTTGTGGAGAGGGGAAGACTCCTGGGTACATAGACAGCACTTGAGTGCACTAAAAGTAACTTACCTCTCACCCTGCGTTGTGCCTTGGCCGAAGGGCAGCACTGGGCTGTGTGGGGCAGAGCTGTGCCTGTAGCTGTGCTGGGGATCTCCCAGAGGCAGGGAGAGGTCTGTGTGACGGGGTGATGTGGATGGCTTCTTGCAATATTGATAGCTCCAGGGGGGTGTAAAGCAGGAATGGAGGGC